CAGGTTTATAAGCCCGTCTTATTGTAAATGAGGTGAAAATAAACAGGGTTGTTACACAAACTGCTATTTGTGACTGCTGGTTTGTAGCTATGGGGATTCTGGAGACTCCGATTTTACGGTACTTCATCTCCTGATCCCATTGTGCAGTTCCTTTAGGTTGTCATGAAAGAATATTAGGCAACTTTTTATTTTTGCAATATGGCTGCTTCTGCTTTTTCAGTTTAGAAGTTTATAGGTTAAAGTTTTGCAAGGGTGCCTGGCTTTGCTTAGAAGACATGAGGGGTGCGTTTTTTTATCAGGGATGATGTTTTTCTATTTTCCCCCCTATTTTTCACATTGTTTTCATAAAAGGAACAGTTATCATTCTTAGCATTTGTATTCTGTAACATCCCATATTATTCGTGCCTTTTTATTTCAACATGGGCAGCTTTGTAAATGTTCAGGTGTTTTCACAAAACTGCATCGGCATCCTTGTATTATCAGGTGCTTTCTGCTTTTTCTGCGATGTTTCAAACGACATGATCTGATTGGTTTGGGTTGTTTTTTTCCAGACCCAGCAGACAGTGAAGTGATGGGCCAGCCTCATATCCTGATGGAGAAACGACTAGGACTTTTGTAATGTCCAACTCACACTTGCAGTGTCGCGTTCATGTTTCTGCTACCCTCTCGGCCACTGCCGACTGGGGGTTTTGTTTTCACATAGGAATACATGAAAAACTGTTGTCTAGATGTCTGGTGAAGACGATTGTGTGTATATGTATGTGTAAGTGTGTGTGAATGTTTCATTTACTTTATTTCATCGCATTTTTTATGGATAGTTTTGGATGATCACTTCTCGTATTATCACGTTCCCAGCCCTGGTCTTGTACCAGATTCACATCTCAGTGTAAGTTTATGGCACATGCCTTGAAACAGACTCTGTTCCTAAACTGAAGGGACTTGTTTTTCCATTCTCAAAGTTTTCTTTATATTATAAAGATATGGTGTTTGTTAGGCAAACTGATGCGAGTGAAAGTGTCATGTGTGAAGATAGATATTTGAAATTGAAATGTTTGGCTTTTCAAATAAATGTTCAACGACAAGTAAAACATGGCTTACATTTGTTTTTGTTGTTGTTGTTGTTGTTGTAGTAGAAGTAGTAGCAGTAGTGGTGTTCATTTCAACACATCGTTGGCTCAGAACTATTTTGTCCAAAGTGTACTTAAGTAAAGAGGTACTTTGGACAGAATAGTTCTGAGGCAACAACACGTCATAAGACAATGTTTATTATTGGCAGTTTGGTGTAAGTTTTATGGTCTGTGGTCTAGTTAGAGATGGGTACCTGACTTCGAGTTGGGGAAGTAAAGGCGGCATGGAAAGGAACTGGCCACCCTACCACAATATGCCGAAGGCCCAGGAAGTTGTCTCACTAACAAGGCAATCCCCAATGTCCGGATCGGATGCGGGAACAACTTTTTTTGGTGCATGCAACGGTTTTGTCGATGACTTATGGGCTATGAAAATAAGAGAAGCGTAACTAGATCACTGTTGCGTTGACGTGGTAAGTTTTCTTATTCTCACTATCCACACCTCCACGATGAAAGCGTTTGGCCACCTGTTTTGTCCTGGTGTGGTTCTTGGCACAGAAGGCTACAACTACAAGACAAATAATCTCACCTGAGGAAAAAAAATGTCTGACAGGTCCACCTTTGTTGTACGATACCTCCAACCTAGGACTAGGAGAAGTCACATGTATTTTATATATATATGTATACGTAATCATGGACAAACCCAACCCCAAAGACCCTTCGAATCTTTTATGTAGAGCCGATCAGACATTGATCTTCAGAGCCCGCACAGGACAATTACACACTAACAAGCACATAAACAGAATCAATCCCATGTGGGAACCCCAATGTAGACACTGTGACTACCACGAGGAAACCGTTGAACATCTCCTTCACTGCCCAAACCTGGCAGTTCTTCGACGTAAGCTCCTACACACACCTACAGACTTACAAAGCCTGCTCTACTCTGGCGTTGACCAGATGACAAGGACATATGGTTACTTGAGGAAGACATTGCGCTGCCAAGAGCGAAATGCTCGCAGCTACAGGGATTTGAAAACAACATCAACAACAACATGTAATCATATGTCTATTTTCTAAAAGGAACCGACTTTTTCTAATAATTTCCACGTTTCCATTCCAAACGAAGGCCAGACCCATGTAACAACAAGTGAGAAAAACACAACGAGACAATCTTACCATTCATTGGAAATGCCTTGGCTGAAGGAGTTCTGTGACAAACTGACACAGCCTACGCATAATATAATGCAATAGGTATTTTTTATTGACAGGGAGCTACAGTCTTGCTTGCTTGTTTAGTCTCAAACCAGAGCGCGTAACTGTCATTTTTAATAATTTAAATTGTCAAAACATTAATTTTTGGACAATAAAGGCATGGTGTTATATTCACAGGTCACTTTAAATGTGTCTTTCAATTTTTCGATGTTTGGCTGGTCATTTCGACTTCGTACATTTTTCTTTTGTGAAGACAATATGTAAGTCGGTTGTCTTCTCTCGTACTACCAGAGGGTTTACAGTAATACTGTAAACCCTCTCTGGTACTACGGAGACGACCGACGCTGTTGTTGTTCGCTTCTGGGACGTGTAACGTGTAGATTAAATTTGTGATGAACATTGGTAACATAAGTGAAAGTCTTTGGTGTCAGTCAGTGAGCCTGTACGCGGGTGTCTGCCTTGTGGTATTCCAAAAACGGCCTCACGGAAAGAGAACCAGATCTATAAATAATAATTTTAAAAAGAACGATTTCGTTCCATGCTTTCATCCATGTCCTTTGTTGGAAACATTTTACGACGTGTCTCGTGATTACCTTAGCTTAGTTAACATACCTGAGTCTTCCCGTTTTTCATCTCCAGGACAGGCTTAAGATAACCGATTCAAGCCCATTGTCTTGATTAGGGATTCGAACTGGGACCAACAGCATTTTGATAAACACGATGTCAGTCAATAGATAGTATTATGTGACATGAGTACGTGCACCCCAGCGACGAATGAGAATACAACTGAGGCCTTCTCTGACGAGTCAAACCAATGCATTCACTAGGTACCAGAAACTAAATTTTCAAAGTAGTTGCATGCCAAATTTATCAGTTCCATTTGAAAGGCTTATATCCACTGAGC